AAGGGAGTTACAAACAGAAATATATTACATTATGTGGACTTTATCCTATCTTATTTAGAATACAAAATGTGTTCACAAGGCTCTCCTAGTCAAAATTAGCAGTTAAATATCACTGTGTTTATGGTTTTCTGGTGGTACATGTCTATTACTAGTTGTTTCAAAAGAGTGAATTAACAGTTTCCTTTTGTATAACAGACTTCATTTTTCTAGTATTTTTGAAGTTTTAATGATACCAGGATGAAGGCCGTATTTTTTATTACTGTGTTTTTTTTATTACAGGCTTCATGTTTCAGCCATTCAGGCAAAAAATCAGAATCAACTGTGTATTTATTTATTTATTTATAAAACTATTTATACCTTTCAAAAATATCTTTGTTACTTTTCTAAAGCCTTACTGAATATTTTTAAATTTGTTCTTTCACTTTAATTTTTAAGGAGAAACAACCAACTAGTTCCCCATTTGATGTTAAAAGGGAATGGACATTGCAGCCACTGCCCTCCCGTTGGACTTTCACTTCTGATTATTTAATTTTTTTTCATAATTTTGCCATTCTTCTAAAAATATTCCGATCATCCCTGTGTTGCTGAGTCTCTGAAGACATGAAGCAAAGGCTGCACGGTGGGGTGCAACAAGCGAATTCCTCTCTCCGATTTCTGCAGAGACCAGTTGCAAAGGTTTTTGGGCAGAAGCCATGTCCCCCATAAGAAGGGACTCTATCTCCAACTCTTAATCAAGCTTTAGGTAGTGGGGGAAAAAATCTGATTTCCCAAGGGCCTTTCCAGGTCCTGATGGAGGCAGGAAAGCCCAGTTGGTTTTCCTCAGATTGAGTTAGCTTCTTCTTTTAAGTCACATCTTTCATGGGTTTATGCAATCTTCCATTTTGGTCCTCAAAATCCTCTACTGCGTCTCCTTTACTGTAATCTTTGTTCACCAGAATTGGGTCATGCTTTTTCTGTAATACCATCTCCATGAGTAGCTGGTTTGGGGATCTTCCTCCTGTATGGACATGAGTTTAAGCATCTGTCTTTCGTAGGATAAAAATCCAATCCTCTGTTTGCGACCCCTCTTTTCACATGACTCTGCCTGCAGAAGACCAGCTGTGAATGTCTAACTCTGTTTCAGCAGTCAGCTGGTGACAGCTCACACGAATCTGAGGTAGCTTTCCAAGCAGCGGATTGCTGATGAGGACTCACCGGCATGTCTGTGCCACTGTGGGCAGATCTGGGATGAGAGCTGCCTGCCTCCCTAGTGACGGCTTTCATGCACCCTGTGTTTGGACAGGGATGGAAATTGAGGTGAAGGGTCAGCTGCAGGCTGAATATCCACTCTCCTGCAATGAAGGTTGACTTTGGACTTCATCGTCAGGGTGTACCTAGGCAGTGGGGCCACCCTCTTCAGTAAGGGCTTTCTCCCTTGAGAAAGAGATGGCTTTCAAAAGTTTGCAGTGTGGTGTGAATCTGCATGGTGCCTGGGTAAAGATATAACTCATTCCTGTGCAGAGTTTTGAATTGGTTACATTTTAAATTAGTTTTTCAATTGATAAGAATTTGTCTCTTTCTTGCTGTAGAAAGACAGCTTACACAGATAATATGAATCAAGGTTTCTTGAGGAAACCCAGTGTCTGGTTTCTCATACAGCTTAGTTAGAGTGCCTCTTTTATTCTAGTTCAGTGTTGTTTTTTCTTACTCCTGTTGCTTTATGCATTTCATATCAGAAATGTCTAATAGTATAGCCTTTCAGGGGATCGTGGTTTACTCTAATAAATGTGGTAGGTGAACCAATCCCAGTACAAAAGGATACATTCTTTTTGTGAATCATGCTCTAAAGTTCAAAGCAATGATACTTTCAAACCCAGAAGCTTTATAAGAAATCATGAGGTCCTGGTTCATTGGCCTTTCATCAACAAATGCATAAAGAAAGGCATAGAAAAGGCCAGGAGATGCCAAGTAGAATTTCATCTCCTGGGGATGACTTGGAAGGAATCAGAGAAAAGTTCCTGATCACTGCAAATCATTTGCCACTGAGGAAGCACAAAGGACTTAGTCATCCACAGACCACAAGGAACTATTTCCATTTAATGTTTTTACCTCTAAAACCTTGCAGACATAAGAGCAATTCTCACTTTCAGATTAAGTCCAATGTGATCAGTTTTATTTCCTACTGGATTTGTTTCATGCACATTGTTTTATGTCATATCAACAGAGTTGGATTGATGTACAGCTTTGCATAACAAACATGAGGAATGGTATTTCAGTATGAGCACATCCCATCTGTTGCTTTCCTGTTCAGCCATGCTTATCAGATGGTCTGAGGTCAGTCTCTCTGTGTGAGGAGTACCTGCACACCAGCAACATGCCTCTTGTGCACAGGCGTATATTGTAGGCATTTTGTGTGGAAATGCAGCCCTTTGAAAGTCCTGAGCTATGTTAAATGAAAAAAACCCAAAATTTAATTCCTGTTTTATTTCCAAGCATATGCAAACATATTTTGGTGTATTTATTTTTGTTAATGGATAAGTTTTCAAAGTAAATTAGTATTACATCCAGGTGGTATTTTCTTACCTGAGTGCTCCCAGATATTTTACATTATTTCCTTCCAACTGTTTGTTCACATACAAGATCATTTCTTCTTTTCTAACTAAGTGTTGCAGGAATCTTTTTGGTTTAGGTCCCTGGGTTAACAATTTTTCTGCTGTTGAGTTTTGTCTGCTTTTACTTGAAAGTAATTCTTTGTTAGGTCTTTCTGGTACTGCGTGTCATGACAACAATAAATAACAATAAGCTGGTTCCTCTGCGTGTTTGGTTGATTAGTTTGAAATTAGTAGTTTAATGCAGCCATGGCATAACACTTTCCTGACTGGATATTTGAATAGCTGTGTATGCATACGTATGTATGTATAGCAAGGACACTACCTTAAGTGAGGAGAATAACATTTCGTGTCCTAGCAGTGTTGAAGTATGGCTGTTTAATTCTGTAAATGGTATGAACCTGAACTGATCTGAAGCTCTGCCTCTCTGCATAATAAAGACTTATTATTTTGCTATCCTGGCATGCATTACCCAATATGTATGTTCTAGGCATTATTGCGATATTTTGGAATTTTATGAACTGGTTATTTAAACTTATCCAGGGGTATCTGGAGTCACAGATATTGCCACACATACTTCAGTGTATGTTTAGATATTTGATCACATTACTTCTCGCATGATGTGATCAAATTGTAGAAAGTGTTTTGTGTTTAATTTCCTTTTATGTGGTTGAAAAGAGTGCAGTTGAGTTGTTCAGTTGGAAAACAAAAATGAACAAGGTTGAAGATGAATGTCCTTTAAAACATGTAAGACCTTGGAGTCAGGAACTATGTATTTAAATGCAGTAGAGGCTACAACAGGGGACATTTAGAAGCAGGTGTTTAGAATATTTGAGAACTTCTGGAACTGAATATATGAATGTTGCTGATTTCAGATATTGGGCCACGGGTGAGACTATTGAATTTAAGTGGAATTATATTCTCTAGTATTTCTTCTGCAGAATTTGCTTAGATTATTCATCAAATGGTAAATCAGTAATTTAAGAACTTTTAAGTGATTCTGGGGAAGAAATAGTCTGGTTCGTGCCATGGAGTGTAAGAGTTATTTTAAGTTATCATGCCCTTTGTATGTCTGTGTGTATGTGCATAAATGCGGGTAGCAGAAATGAGACAGATTCAGAAATAAGCAATTGTGATAAAACACCTAGAAAGAGGCTTGAAGGTTAGACTAATAAGGAATTTTTAATTCCAAAAAGAGATTAAGAGCAGCAATATAACAACAAGTTATTTATTATCTGTTGCCCACTGAAGGAGTTTTGAGGACTGCCTTTGAAGGTAAGAAGCAAGTTGCTGGACTAGATGAAACACTGCTCACTGGTATGGTGAGCACTGGTATTCTTGGGGGTTTTTCTCACTCGCTCAGTTCACTGTGCTGCAGTCAGCCTTCATCATCTCTGCTCAAGTGCTCGTGGAAACATCAGTCCAGGAGGTTGCTTGTTTCTTTCTACAACTCGATGTTCCTTGGAGTCGACCATAGCAGTCGGTTAACAGCATGTACCACAATAACACAAACAAAGCAGTTTATCTGGGAAGTTTAGAAGAGCACTGTCTCCCTTCCCAGCCTCTGGAAAGCATATACCCAGCAGAAGGTAACTGCCTCTGCTGGGGTACAGCTGGTTTGCACAGAAGTGGTGCCCCTGCCTTTCCAAAAAGACAGGGCATGCTTTCCACCAGTGACATCTCTTACATGCATCTATAATTCCACGTGAATCTGGGAATGTCTCTAATTACACTATGAATTGCTGGTGCATTCCTAAATTAGCAGGAGGTTTGTCGGTAGCGCCCGTATTTAATTTCTGCCTTGGCTTTGTGAATGAGTTTTTGATGGTTTCTTTTCTACCCCATTGTAAAACCAATTGAAAACAGTATGTTCGTTTGTGACAGTGAGGGTGTGTGTGAAATGATCACTCAGTTCTCATGTTCTTGTTGTTTAGAACAAACAGTCTTCTAGATGTTGAAAGTCAACCCAGTGTGGTTTGGTTGGTTGGTGTGGAGGGGTTTCTGTTACGGTAAGCTGACTTTTATGAGGAGAAATACATGCTCATCAATACTGCTGCCATGCATTGAGAAGGGAAGGTGCTGTGATGAAGAGGATAGAGTACACCACAATTCCCAATATTACTTTCTATGCTGTGACTTAAGGTACTTGAAGCTAAATCTTACTAGAAGAGCTATCTGATGATATTGGATAGTTGCCATATTACAACAGGTCTTCAGTAAGTAGTGCCATTTTTTCCTCTCTTTATATGCCAAAACCAGACTTTGTCACATTACTTTGAGCTTCAATAATTTACTATGTTCTTCTGTTGTTCCTTTACACAAGAACTGTACAACAGCAGTACCAGCTGTGCAGACCCATGGAAGAGCTGTTTGTGTCTTTGTGTGATTCTTTTTTTTTCTTCCTGTTCACAGCAGATATATGGAGTGATCATTCATTTCAGACAGACCCAGACTTACCACCAGGCTGGAAAAAAATCAATGACATTGCTGGGATCTACTACTGGCACATACCTACAGGAACAACTCAGTGGCAGCGTCCTGTGTCCATCCCAACAGATCTCCAGGGCTCACGAAAAGGATCTCTTGGTTCCATTACTCCGTCTCCTACTCCAGAAACTGAGGTAACATACTGTGTCTTCTTGTGGGCTGCATACTGTAAAGAAAATTGAAATAACTTTTTGAACTTGCAGGTTTAACTGTTAGCTAAACCGGCCTGATAATGTCCCAAAGTGTAGCTACTTTTTGATAATGCATCGTAAGTATGTATTTTTTGTGTTCATTTTGTAATGGTTTTGCCTCATAAAACACTGTAAACTTTGGATATGTAGGATAAAATCAAACATGTCTCAGATAAATTAGGCAGTGACTGATGAGTCACTGATGAATGTGAAACTTATACAGTTCTGTAGCATATGCTGAAGCATTGCTGCATTATTTTGATACAGGATACATAAAACTTTTGCACATTATAGTAGTCTTTTGGCCAAACTCTTTGTTGGCATCTTCTTTCTTTTTGGTTCATTTGGTAAGAGTATCACAAAAAGACATATGAGTCTTCATTTGAGACACTAGTTCCTTTACAGCGTGTTTTCTATTGAATAAACATGAAGTGTTCTCAAGTGTGGGTCTCTGTACATCCTGCCAGTACAAAATATCTATCAGTGTGTTGCAGTCAGTCTTTAACTACAGACAGAAAAAAGTGCACACTCTCCTCCACATGTGCTGAAAGAGCAGTATGTGATACTGCCTTTTAAAATAATCCTTTCAGGCACAATCCACAGGTTTGTTTGGTGTCATGTAAGTAGAAAAATAAAATCAATTATAAAGAAGAGTATGCTACAAAAAATACAATCACTTTGTTTTAGTATGCTGGGGAGACATCTGTGGAATTAAATAGTAATATAAAATAAATTTGGTGTTAAATTAATTATTTTTCATACTAACTTTTCAGGAAAATGTCTGCAGCTTTATGAAATCAAGGGAAGTCTTTGTATTGGCTTTGCGTTTTTGATCAGACAATCCTTAGGGGTTTGTTTTTTAATTCATTTAGATACAGCATTTCATCTGTTCTTGATTTTGTTCATATGTGCACCACACTAATTTAAATGGAAGTTAAGAGGTGTTAAGGATGTTCAAGTATGTATTACCATCTTGCCTCTGAAACTTTTATCTTTTATAGCCTTAAATATGCACAGTCTTGTTCGTTATTTTAGAAAGACTACTCCAACATGTTCAAAAATGCTATTCATAAGACTTGCAACTTGACCACCACATTTCAGTTATGGTTTACGTCAGTCAAGCTCCCATGTAATGTACTGTGCACTAGGCATGCTGGAAGTTATTTCTGAGAGGATTCATGGAGAAAGAACTGCAACTGTTACCATTCTAGTACAAGAAAACAAAAAAAAATCTAGACATACTGAATGTAAATTGCTGCACATGTTTCCAGTATAAATTCCTGTAATGTACACAAGAGGGATATAACTTTACCATTATTTTTCTTACTCTAAAATGTGGAGAATAGGACTTTAATTAGTAAGTTATAGATGCTTTTCACAAGACCCCAGAAATTAGGATGGTTTGTAAACTGCAGAGGAAAAACACATATTTTCATTTCAAATATTTTTTCTACTTCTGTTTAAAATGTCTTTACAATTAAAAATTCAGACCTGCTGGTAATGTATCAGGTGTACTTTTAGCCTTTCACAATTTTGTTTGCTTTAAGTGAATAATAGTTTGTGATTATAAGTAACTATCATTAGTTCTCAGCAGCATCATGGAGAATACAAAATGTATGAGTTGGTTAGAGCATTGTGCTAATAACAACACCTAGGTTGTGGGTTCAGTCCCTGTATGGGCCAATCACTTAAGAGTAGGACTCAGTGATCCTTGTGGGTCCCTTCCAACTGAGAATATTCTGTGATTCTGTGAATCAGATTTTAATACAGTATAGATATATTAAATAAGACATGTATGTGATTACATAGTACGTTCACCTAGGTTTTGATATGGCAGCTCTAGTCCAGCAAGGAATTTGTCCCAGCAAAGATTTAGGCAGTTCTGCGGCAGCATCAAGACCATATACTGCGGCATAAAAGACGGTATGGAAAATAAATACATTCGCAAAATTTGTGTTGATATGATATGATTATTTTTATGGTAGGTGTAGACAAAGGTTTTTTACAGGTTTCTGCATTCATTGATAAGCATCTTAGCATTATTGAAGCAGTACTGGTTTTTTAACTCAGAGGTTACTAAGATAGAATTGCAATACAGTACCAGCAGACTTACACTAACAGAGTTCAAAACAAGAGCATGAATTGAGCTCTGGACTTTGTCCCCTGCCAAACACAGAAACTGCTACAAAGAATAGGCGTAGCTAGAGTTATAATGGGAACTGTTAGGAAAAGTCTTGCATTTCTTGAAACCACAGGTTTGGAGCTTTATTACAGTGGAACTGGAGGAAGAATGCTTTGTGATTCAGCTGGTTCTGAGCAGAACCCCAGTACAAAGTAGTGAGAGGAAAATTAATCACAGTGTGTTTTTAAGAGATAGGGATAGGTAATGAAGTAATTTTGACAATATCAGCTGCCATGAATTTTTAGGGTTTTGTCTCTCTGCAATTGGTACATGCCAGCACTGAATCATCTCCAGGTCACTTGCAGGTGATATTTGTTTCAGTACCTGTTTGCTGCACTGCAGCCTAGCCCAAGTGCTCCTCCTCTCCCTCCCTGTGAAGGATTAATACAGGTGTCTGTGATGTGGTCAATCTGACATTTCACATAAGATGTGGAATTTGATCTAAAATAGGGACTCCCAAATACCTTTATCCCAGTACTACTACTGGCTGCACCAGCTGTGGTGGAGAGCTTCCACCTCCAAGTTGAATCCACATGTGAGCTATGTACTGCTGGTTCTCTCATTGCTGTGCTCCAAGATAATCTTTTTGGAGAGGACTGGTTTAGCTCATTCCCCCCATGCTGGAATTTGTATTGCTTTATTATTAAAAGGTTGGGGGGTATACAGGTTTTAGGCGTATGAAAGAGATTAATCTAGGATTGAAGAGTGGCATGGGTAGCATTTCATACCTGTCCCAATAGGCTTCTGTGAGTCCATAAAAATCCTTTATCTAGGTCACATTTGGCTGTGAATCATCATGTGCTAGTTGTGAGGTGAGTTTATTTTGGGCTCTTTCAGCTTTTGAGTTTGTCAAATAAACATTTAGAAGCACTTTTTTCCCCCACAGTAACATCTTTTTACCCTTTGTCTTGTTTCCTCTTTTTTTTCCTTCATTTTATTTTCTTGTGTCCCTGTCTCTTAAATAATGTAGTATACAGAAGCTTTGCTTCATTTGTTAGAATGTGGCTCACAGCTGAAGGCAGTCCACAAAGAACAGATCAAGTCAGCCATTTTTATTTTGTAGCTTACTCTGGATATTTAGCATAAAGAAAAACAGTTATTACTGTTGAACAGAGAATCAAAAAGAATGGGTAGGACAAATGATGCTGTAATGCATACTGATGGCAAAAAGCGTTCTAAAAAGGAAAAAAATGTGAAAATGTCTTACTTTTACACAGGCTGCAAGGCATTTTTTCTTTCACAAGATGATAAGTAAATTTCAATCCAAAGCAATTATGGGTTAAGCATTATGCGAAAATCCTGCTGATTTAACAAAAATGCTAATGAATGCTAAATATGAATAACCTGTAACATTCCTTCCCTTCCTCCACCTCAGAGGCATGAAAATGTATTTTAGTTTTGCACAGCTGTTTAAATTTGACTTAGTTTTAGATTACTCTTTTCTCTTGTGTGTTGCCAAATTACTTCCTTTTTGAGTCCTTGTCTTTTGTAATGTTCTCTTCCAAATTTTAGAACTTTTGCTGCCTCTTTTCCATTTCCTGTGCAGAGAAAAAGCTGTAGGGTTTAAGTTTCAATAAGAGTTTCTTTGAGATTATGTCAGAGTTTGGTGAAGGTAGTTTGTGTCTTATAGCCTGACTCATCCCAGGCCTGGATCACCTCTGGAAGTTCTTCTGTAGTTAACATAACCACTAATAATTAAAGAAAAGGGACTTGGTAGGAAAAGCTAACAAATCAATTAATTCGTAGGCATGTTAGGGAAGGGGTACTCATGAGCTGCTTTTCACAAAATAATTCCTCCGATGGGGGTATGTTGAGAACACTTCTGAGGTGAGAAGTCTACCCTGCATAATATTAATGGATTGGGCCAAATTAACCACTTCATCTTGGGGCTGAGCTGGACAGCCTGGGAGAACTCATCTTAAAAGGGGAATTAATTTCAGGAATTCTTGATTTGGTGCTCAACAGTCAAATCTCCTGTCCCACCTGGCTTTTGTTGAGGACTGTGGGATTTGTTTCCTGGTGGGGTGGAGGAGAGAGGCAGCTCCAACATCAGCTGTTCCTCTCAGACTTTACAGGAAAGGCTGAATCTTGGGTTGTTGTAGTGCTAAACGCACTGCTACTTGCTTGATTATACCAAATTTTTGAGAAATTTGAATAGAAAATGAGAGGGTAGGTGCTTTGTTTCGCTTTGGTTTGTTTTTTAAAAAAGCTGCTAGACTTCTGAAAACTACTTTTTCAGCAAGAAATCTCTGCACTCATTACTAATCCTCCTTACCTTCCTTGTCGTTTTCTTGTGCTTTCTCTCTAGAAATATTTTATTTTTGCCTTGTATGTTTCTTATCTTCGTATATATTGCTGTATTTCAGTATTTCTAGTTCCAGTAATGTTAGGGTCTTCTAACAAAAATGCCATTCAAATGGAAATCCTAATGTTTCCCCTTAATTGCTGTTTATCAAAGGCTGTAGCAGCTGTGGCCAACATTCATATTCAGATTCATTTTGCTTGCTTTTAAGATCATAGTTAAAGAGTAATTTCATTGTCTGTTCCTAATTTATATTAACTTTCCTTGTTTCAATCATTTGTTTTGGTAAGTAACTGTTAGAGGCATGTCTTCTCTCCCCTTTCCTCCAAATGCCATAGTATAGTGGAGTAAGTAGTTGAAGTTTGAGGTGATCTGTTCCCTAACCCATCCTGTAAATATCAATGCTAACAACAGTGTCTTGTGTTTTTTTTTCTTTTTCTTTTTTTTTTTATCAATGTGCTTCTTCCTGTGTGAATAATTATGTGTCTAGAAACAGCCATGGAGTGATTTTGCTGTACTGAATGGGGGAAAGATTAATAGTGACATTTGGAAGGCAAGTATATTGTCAGATTTTAGAACCTTTAATACTATTACCCTTGTTTTTTGCATGGCAGTGGCTGTTTTTTTCCCCTTTTATTTTTCCATGAATGTCATTCATAACCTAGGCCAAAGTGAATGGGGGTACTGCTAGGGATGTCTAGCTCACAAACATGCTGCCTTTTCTGATCTTTCCACTTGGAATGGATTCAGTCTAAACTAGCAGGGCAACTGCCATGATGTAACAAATAAGATGCCTGCACTGAATGAAATGCAGCTTGAGAACTATATGCATGCCTCTTTTCAACTTCAGCCAGAAATACTATCGCTTCTTTGCAGGGAGGATTTAATTTCCCTTTGAGATAAGAAATAACATGATGGTGTATTTAATACTATTTTAATAGTATTAAAACTATACTAATAGCACTACCTCTATCTCTAGGATCTGCATGCAGCCACTGTGAACCCGGACCCAAGTCTGAAAGAGTTTGAAGGAGCAACATTACGCTATGCCTCTTTGAAGCTCAGGTACAATAACTCCAGTGGAGTGACCAGCTCTGTTTTGTATTGTGCTGTAATTTAAGACTGAGTTTGTCTCTTTTTTTTTCTTCCCCCTCTAACAGAAATGGTCCTCAATCTGATGATGATGATTCTTGTAGCATCAACAGTGATCCAGAAGCCAAGGTCTGTAAGAAAGTCTGCAATGGAATAACAATTAAAAATTTTGCGGTTGTAAACGTAAACTTGCAAGGTGCAGAATGTCTCCTAAGTTTTGAAATTAACTGTACCCCTCCTCTTGGTACAATGTGGATTGACCATGCATGACTAATTCCATCAAAGGAATTTGCAGATTTAAAGCTATATTTAGTTTGGTCAGGAAAGTGTGACTTATTTTAAAATTACGGAGGCCAGGAAATTGGATTGTAGAGCTCAAGATTCTACTGTCCAACTGTAGTAACTGTCCTCTTGCACAACTGAGTTTTCCGTTCTGAGTGAGAGAGGGCTCTGTTGCTTATCATGGCTGGATAGCTTCCTGGGGCATTCAGTGACAGAATTTGCTCTTTAATTTCAAGTTTGTCCCTTTTTAAAGTACTCTTCCTTTTTGATGTATCTGCTTCAACTTGCACCTAGTAGGAAGTTACTTTTTAGAACAAGAAACTTTGTATTTTAGAAGACAGAATGCAACCTGTTTTGAGAATGCAACTCATAAAGAAAAATTAGATCATTATGTGACCAAGCACCATAATTAGATCAGAGCCTTTACTGTTGTAATCTAAGGGTTTTGAGGATAAAATAGCAGCAGAAGGTTTTGAATGCTTGCATATATATTTCAAGACAAGATTTGTCTTGGTAGTTTTTCATTGTACTTGCATCCATTTTTAAGGATGTATGTGAGTCTCTGTAATTGGAAATCCTGATAATTTAAATAAGTGTTTTGGCTGTGCCATACACCTGCAGTTGACTGACAGAATCAGAACTGAGCACTGAAACATTCATATAAGTGACTGAGAGGAGCGAGACAAGAAATAGAGGAGAAACTATACATATTTTCGGCTTTTTTAAAATCACTTGAGTCAAAGCATCTTACCTGCTTTCTGCCTGATGTGGGTGTTATGCATGGGCAGTAGCTGACTGTATGTGTGGTCCTGCAGGTGAAGCTCAGCAGCACTGATGTTGCTGTGCAGTAGGAGAGGCTGAGAGCAGAGCTGTTTAGTGCATCTACCTCTGCCCTAAGGACAGGACAAGCACGGCCATATGTCACAGGGACAGGAAGTGGTCCATAAACAGCAGGGAGAATCTTCACCTGTGGAAAATGCTCTGGGATCTTTAATTCGCACGTGAATGGGAAGGGAGCGGGGTAGGTGGATTCCTTGCTAGTCCCATTTTACCCCAAATATTGAGAGACTGAAAGAAGTCATAGGATTTGAAACTGATGATTTGGAAAAATCAGATTTTTTTTTAGCCCTTTAGTCTCTCCACTGCCGTATTAGATGCCTTAACTATCTTTGATTAAAGCTTGCTTTTGTGTGGTAGCAAGCACAGATACTTTTTCTTCATTTCAGCATAAGAGAAAGCAGCCTTTTTTTAACTCATTAAGCTATCTAACTATTAACTATCTAACAATTAACTATTTGTTAAATTGAGCCTTGTTAGAGATGTGTTAGAGATCTAAAACCTATTTAAACTAATTCATGACATTTGCCAATACTTTTTTTTGGGAGGGGGTGTATAAAAAATTTCTCTATGGCAGAGTAATGCTGTATTTCAGCAAGGGGAACTGTGCCACCTTGTGGAGAGCTGTAGTAGTTGTCTTCACCCAGGGTGTCAACTTCTGTGAAGATAGTAGCACTGCAAAAGCGTCAACATGGGAAAAGCATGCCATATAATTCATCTAATTCTTATAAGAAAAATGATTTATGCAGCAACACAGTTAAGCATTCAAAATTCTCAGTAAAGAACAAATGTTTCTCTAGACATCATGTGGTTAAGATGCAGTTCATAGTTTCATATCCTGGGCATCTGGTCAGGTTGTCTGTACAAGGTCATAAAGGAGAAATGGAAAGAGGAGAATTATTACATCCAGCTTCTTGATTTCAGTAATTCATTTTGATAGGGATTTCTTGGAAGAGATGGCTCATTGCACTTGACAAGGATCCTAATTCTGCATGTGAAACATGCACAACTAGAAATGAATTTTGAATTGGTACTTCCCAGGAGACAGATCGTAACCTTCCTAGTTAATTTATAGAGCAATGTGTGCCTTCCTAATTGAGTTTCAAGGAAGGTAAAAAGATGCTTTTACCAATCCCGGACTGTAAATTCTTCTGTGTTGTCTTTTTTTTCATTGTTATAAAATGTGATGGCTGTGTGTAAAAGTATAGAAAGATGCTAAATTTTTTCCTCATGGTCATGAATAGAAACTGAACCTCCTGGGAAACCTGTCACTGTCCCTAGGAATGGGATGAAAACTGGAAAGCCCATGTGACTCATTTATCTGAAGCGTTTTCAGAATTGGCCTGTTTGGCCTGATATTTGGACATGTCTTTATTCTCTCCTTTTTGTGTAAAGCATGGATTTTTGAATTCCCTGACCGTGTTAGCCTGTTCAGCAAAGTCTCACTTTTCCAACCTTACCATATGGTTTCAGTCAAAGAATGGGAACAATGTATTTACACCTATGGGAATAATAAGCATTTGCACCAAAAGTCTGTTTTCTACTTTAGAAACCAATAAATGCTCAGGACCCCAAAGGAAGAGGAGACTGTTTCCAAGAGGGATAGTGTCAGGAGATACTGATACCCGGCAGTTAATTCAGTGATTCACCTGTAGGTGAATGAAAACACAGCTGGAGACATAGAAAGTGAGTTGGTGGTGAATTCCAATGGACTGCCTGAGCCTTACGGTTTAACCAGTTGGACTTTTTAGAGTAATGTGAGGGCTGTTTTTGAGAAGCTGACTTGTGACTGTTACGAAGTGGCCCGTAAATAGCACTATCGAAATAATTTTACAAAATACTTATATGCCCCCCAAGAATGTAATATCCATATCTGCTTTTCTTGCTACGTAGGCAGGTATATGTGTTTTGGAGGCATTCTACATTTGCTTCTTTCTGGTCTTTTCCAGAAGTAAATATCCTGTCTAGACACAGGGTTATTTGTAAATTATCAGCTTGGGGATGGACGTGAATCTGATTTCTGATGCGAATGAAGACTTAACTAGAGAGGAGTTTTTGCCATGTCTAGTAATTCCAAGAAAGGATTCTTTTCACACTGAAGTACATAATTTTCTCTCAGAATCAGAGTAGCTTTTAAAATTCTTGGTGTAAACAGGGAGTATTCAGCATTTTCAAGCAGTTTTACCATCAACCTCAGGCTGCATATAGTCTTCTCATGAGCACATGAAATGCTGAAGAAAGTCTCAATTCAATTAATGGACTCAAGTAAATTAATTAAATCTGAGGAGGTTATTCCATCTTAAGTCTCTTTACAAAAGTAGATTTAATCTAAAAGAGAAATAGGGTATCTTCAACATTTTTTCTTCTGAAATGTTATTTCTGCTTGGATTTTGGAATAGGAATTTGTGTCGTTCAAAAACAATCTTTGATTTTCATTCCCTAGGAAAGAAACCTTGAACCCATTCCTTTACTCTTATAGAGAACCACAGTATATGATCCCATGTATTAATTACAAATTTCTTCTTAAGCTTTTGGGGGGGGGCTCTGCCTTGACTAGTCTTAACTGAAAAACTGATTCAAGTATTACCTTCCTTTGATGGTCAAAAACCTTTTAACTAAACTTTTTAGGCCATTTTTTTGTCCTCTTGTTCTGTGTTTAGCCATCTACTCATGCATTTATAGCAGGCCATTATGTTTCTTCTTCAGCTTAGTTTTATTAAACTTAACGAGCCAAGTGCTTTTAATTAGTCTTAATGAGGCTAGGAGGGTTACCATCTCCTTACGAGTCCCTGTTTTCCTGATTCTTGTAATAGCTCTGTGTTTTCTGTCTTTAATTTTTAACCGTAGGCAATCACATTTGTTACTTTGGGTGGTGTTTTTCCAGGGTAGCTTAAGGTTTTTCCAGGGTAGTTTGTAGGGTAGCTTAAAAATGTCCTTATTCCTTTTTGGAAAGTTTTTGACCATGATTGCTTTTACTCTTTCAGCTCCTAATTAGGTAATCATTGTGTTGCAGCCTAAGCCATAATTATAACCAGTGTTTATAAGAGTGAGAGGAAGAAAAATTCCGATCTTCATCTCGATAATTTGAATAGTACCTTGGTCAGGAGGGAGTAGTTACTTGTTTTGTTTTGTTTCTTTCAAAGAATTTTATTGCCAGGAGCTGAAAGTTTCTTGTGAACAGCAGATTTCTGTATTTTGGGGAGTAGCCTAAACAGTGTGTGTATAGTTCTTTTTAACACTAAGCTACTGCTGATAGTAAACTAAAAACTCTCTTTGAAGATAATGATTTTTGCATTGATGAAATGCTATAGAAATGATTTCACAAAATGCAGGAAAGCAGATTATGCTCAGTGTTCATGAATTTTACTTAAATTATGTTCTTAAGTATTTTAAAATAACCAGAGAGTAAGAGTTAAGTAGTTTTAAAAAATTGCTGCCTCTTGGTATTGGCTTATCTTAGGCTTTCAGAGGGAAGAATGAAACCCTGGGAATAAGATCTTGGAAAAAAACCCAACCAAAAACCCAGCCTAAAACCAAAATAAGCACTGTAGTGGAGCTTGATGTTAGGGATTTCTTGTTTCTTTCAAAGATGAAAGGGTCTGCTTAGTTTCTTCCCCCTCTCAGCAACCAGATAGTCATTTTAGTAGCTTTCAAAATTATGAGTCAAAATATATATCTTCTGTTTGAAACATCCAGTGAATAATCAGGAAAAGGTCAGTCTTGATAATTACTATAATATAGCAAAAGTTTTTCCAGCATTCCGTCCTTGCAGCTTCTGGGTAGCAATGGTGAGTGATGGAGACAGCTGTTTCTAAACTGGTTGGTTGTTTCTGAATTTGGCTTTTTGCCATTAGCAGCATTAAGACATCCTCCCAGCTATGGAGAGGTTGCAGGTGAATGGTGCAGGTGCTTGAAAATGTCCTGCTTCAAAAGCAGTTAAATAGCCAACTAAAGCACTAAAATACATATCCTTGACAATTTTTTTTTTAGTCTTTTTCATTCTGTGCACT